AACACTCAGCTCAGCCGATATGGCAGTGCAGCGGTTCTCTTAGGGTTTAGGGTTTAGGGTAATCTGTGCCACATCGAGGCAAACGTGCGCGTGGCAACGAGAAGAGTGGCGCCGGGTGTGGAGGCCTACATGCACCTTTACCACTGGAACCTGTTTCAAAAACGTGAGAAGGGGTCACCTGCAACATGCGCGTCCGGGAGGCAAGTACCTATGCCGGGTGAAGGTGGGCATTGAGGAGGACTATGCGTTCCAGGCCCGGCCATCAGCTGTAAGATTCTGCAGGTACTTGGGACATGTTATATTTACCCTTATTGGGTTTAAGAGGATCATATTCAGAAATCTTTTTCAGAGGGTTTTAAGAGCCATCCTAGTCTGGCAAGAGCCACTTCCTGCTGCCGAGAGAGTGCGGGAGCCCAGGTGTGCAGACGCATCATTGGCCCCGGCGGCGAGAACATGAAGCGTCGCCTGGCAGAGACCACAGCCTATATCCCCCTTGGGAATTATGTTTAGTTTTTGTTTATATACAACCATATTTTTATTAAGGTTCGAAGGGGAGTATAGCAGCAAGGGCCCACATCGGGTGTGATGTCTCCTGGGTCACCGGGTAGCCTTCTTGAAGGCCCATGGGACCAGCCATTTCGCGGTAAAGTCCCTGAGCTTTGTGAAGCACTGTAGGCCTGTTCGGCTGCTGATCTTGTGAATCTTCCCTCAGCTCGTAATCCTTCGGTGCACTACATCCCCAAGCCTATAAACCCCGCAGCCCAAACCCGAAACCCAAGAATTTTGAAAGCCTTGGGTTTAGGGTTTAGGGTGTAGGGTTTAGGGTTTAGGGTGTAGGGTTCACCCAAGGCATCATTGAAGGCGACGGCTCCGTGAAGATTCGCCTGCGGGGCCGCGGTTCCAAGCATGGGGCCTCAGGCTTTGTGTGTCTGGCAGGCTAGGGTTTAGGGTTTAGGATTTAGGGTTTAGGGTTTAGGATTTTGGGTTCAGGCTTTGTGTGTACTTGGAGGTTCATGGGTACTTCTAGCCCCAACATAACTGTACTCATAAGCCCCCTAAGTCTCCTAAGCAGTAAGTTATAAGAACATCATGATTGGGGTTATAAGTACCCATGAACCTCCAAGTATGGCAGGTTTAGGATTTAGGACCCAGGGTTTAGGGTTTAGGGTTTAGGGTATGTTGTACCCTGTGGGTTGGGGGCTCAGGGCCTTCAGGCTGATTTTGAAGCTGCTCGTAGGAACGCTGCGGCGTGCAAGACCATCATGCAGATGTGTGGGTTTCCCAAATAAGGGTCCCCCGAATATAAGCCCCCCCCAAAAGAAAAACATAATAGTATAATCCTGGTTATAGCGGTCCCAAGAGGGGTACCCCATTTTCGGAAACCCCCATGTGTGCTGCTACACTTTCAGGCGCCTGCACGGAACAAAAGGTAGTAAACCCTAAACCCTAAACACTTAACCCTCAACCCTAAACCCTAAACCCTAAACCCTGAACCCTGAACCCTGAACCCGAAACCCTGAACCCGAAACCCTAAACCCTAAACCCTGAACCCTGAACCCTCAACCCTAAACCCTAAACCCTAAACCCTGAACCCTGAACCCTAAACCCTAAACCCTAAACCCCAAACCCTGAACCCTGAACCCTAAACCCGAAACCCTGACCCCTTAGCGGCTACTGACATTTGAGGTATTTGGAGGGACCGGAGCACAAGGAGTCCACCGATGACCTGATGCTCTGCGTCAGTGCAACCAACAGGTGCAACCCAGGGGGTTTAGGGTTTAGGGTTTAGGGTTTAGGGTTTAGGGTTTAGGGTTTAGGGTTTAGGGTCAAAACTTCACTGTTTCGGGTTGAGGGTTGGACCCGGACTTGCGTGGTATAGGGATCGGATTAATCTATTAATAGTCCTCCCTGTCCCGATCTATGTGTACTATAAAAAAGCCCGCTCTTCTATTCATTAAGGCCCCTACCTTAAGGACCAAATAAGGACCAAATGAACTTAAAAAGGGCTTATGGTTCATCTTCCGGAGAGTAGTATAGGGTAGATGGCCCCAATTTTAGGGTTCATGTGGTCCCCAAGGTAGTAGGTAAGGTTGAGGGTTTAGGGTTGAGGGTTGAGGGTTTAGGGTTTAGGGTTTAGGGTTTAGGGTTTAGGGTTTAGGGTTTAGGGTTTAGGGTTTAGGGTTTAGGGTTTAGGGTTTAGGGTTTAGGGTTTAGGGTTCCCAGAGACTCCCGTGGTGAGAAGCATCCCTGGCATCAGCATCGGAGCTGCGGAGCGCTTGAGGAACCAAACCTTGAGTCCGCGTTGACCCCTAAACCCTAAACCCTAAACCCTAAACCCTAAACCCTAAACCCTAAACCCTAAACCCTAAACCCTAAACCCTAAACCCTAAACCCTAAACCCTAAACCCTAAACCCTGGGAGAAGCTCCAGAGAGGCGTTCCTTCGAGAAAGCAGCGACTGGGGTGGAGCTGCTCATCCACTCGGTGCAGCAGGACGGTGCGGGTCGCCATGGAGTTCGGGGTCCCTCAAAAAGAACTCAAAGCCATGTGGGTGGTTGTCAAGATTTTGGTCCCTGTTTGGATCCCTATTCTAATCCGGCACCGAATATTTAGGGTAGCCCAAAAAGGATTATAATTTTGACAACTACCCATATGGGGGTTTCCGATATTAGGGGTACCTTATTGGGGGTCCTTATTACAAAGGAGTCCTACTCTTTGGGGCGTGTATATTTTGGGGGTCCCTTACGTTCGCAAACTCCCATATTCAACGGGAGGGGAGGATGACGATCGCTGGCTTGCAGTCATGGGTGCCGCAGCAATCGCAGATGCAGCAAGAGTCCGTGTTTAATGGGTTTTAGGATTTGCCTATTTTTTCAAGAGTCCATGGTTAATGGGTTCTAGGATTTGCCTACTTTTTCAAGAGTCCTTGGTTAATAGGTTTTAAGATTTGCCTATTGTTTTTTTTTGGGGGGGGGGTTTGGTTGCTGGCAGGACTACATCGGCTACTGCAAGGCCACGCGGGCCTCCGAGTCCTGACTTGCCGCTGCAAACTAAACTCCTGAATACCCATAAACCCAGAGAAATCTCAAACCCTAAGCCCTAAGCCCTAAGCCGTAAGCCGTAAGCCGTAAGCCCTAAACCCTAAACCCTAAACCCTAAACCCTAAACCCTAAACCCTAAACCCTAAACCCTAAACCCTAAACCCTAAATCCTAACCTTCAGCCCAATGCCCTAAATCCTAAGCCCCAATCCCTGCACCTTGGGATCTTTCCCCGCATACTAACAGCCCTTGATACCAAACTATAAGTAGGGGGTACTGTCATCCCTATTAAGGACTGTAAGTATAAGGGGGAACATCCCAACCCAAAAACCCTAAACCACCCCTAAACCCCTAAACCCCTAAACCCCTAAACCCCTAAACCCCTAAACCCCTAAACCCCTAAACCCCTAAACCCCTAAACCCCTAAACCCCTAAACCCCTAAACCCCTAAACCCTAAACCCGCCTTGGAGCGGCACCCTCCAGGCGCGCGGCCTCGGCGCTCCGACACTGGCGGCCGTGCGCCGAGAGGCGCAGCGCTCGCGATGAGGGCCCGGCGGCCCGAGGTTTTGGGGGGGTTAGGGTTTAGGGTTTAGGGGGGGGGGGGGGCTTGCTTTGCGGGGATTTTAGGGTGGTTTTGGGGGGTTTTGGGGGGATTTTAGGGTGGGGGGGTTTAGGGTGGCTTAGGGGGTTGAGGGTGGAGCTGGTGAGGGTGCTAGGTTTGGGGGCGCGTTTTGCAAACTCAACATCCCTTGTTGGGGTACCCTAAATATGAGGGGGCCGCCTCACAATGTAAGGACCCGGCAAAGGGACCACATGTTAGAGAAGGTGGCCATATGACTTCAGGATGAGTCGTCGCTTTCAGCCCTCTCTCTTTCTCAGTTTATCTTCTCATCATTTTCTCCTCTCTCTCGCGCAGATCTCCCAACCTGTACCATGCAAAACTGAAAGGAGCCCGTCATGACGTTGGATCCGAGCAGACAACGAGCTTTTCACGGTAACTTGAGGAAGTTAGCAGAAGCCGCCGCGCCTTCCCAAGGTCAAAGGTGAGTGGAGAAGGCTGAGTAACGGCCTCCACTGAGGACCGTTGTCCGATCCTGTCTCGGAATGTTAGTGGCTGCGATTTAGCATTTTAGGCTGTCTGACAAAGGTGGCGGCGACACAACGTTGTCTCCACCTGACGTTATTGCGTAGTTAGGTGTAAGGTTCTTCTCCAAAGGAGAGAGTCGGAGAAAGGCCGTCTGCGTGGCCTGAGTGCCTCTAGGTGTGCCTTACGTTTCTTATACTTTGTGCATTTTTTGTACAGGAGCGGGGACTGCTCAACTTTAGATGTGGAGCATCCTACCGCTGGTGAGCATGGGCAGATCTTCGAGGGTTTGTGGGAGTTCTCCAAGGTTCTCAGTTTGAGTTCTTGCAGTTTCAGAGAGGAATCCTTGAAGCTTCCTCAGATCCTGGTGTACTGCCTTGGTTCCTGTTGCAGCCCGAGCCTTGCATGTCCAGAGCAACTTTGATGGTGAGAGTCCTGCGGGGCTGGATGGTCAGAGCGCCTCCAGCCATGAGATGCGGGCCAGATGCTCTTCAGAGTTGCTGGGCCCAGACCGATCGCGGCGGACACGCGCCGGAGCTGGTCGGGGCATGATCAGGGTGCGTGAGGAACGTGAGCCGGCGGCGCCAACTTCCCGCCGGCTCGCCGCGGCCCTGTCCCTGTATAGCTTGTACAGTCGGCATGCTGCCTTTGGGTGCTCAAGGACGATTTGCTCGCTGGCAAAAGGCTCTTGCCTTGTGCGGCTGCATGCAGGATATTGCCGGCCTTAACCTGTATCCTCCTTGGAAGTTAGTTTACATTTTGTTCACATAAAACCCAAGAGGATCTCAAAAAGATTATGTTTATTAAGGTTCTAAGGGGAGTATAGTAACGCGACAAGCACGGTTTTGTTGAAGCCTTGTTGTCTCTTTGTGGCAGGGAGAGCTCACATGGAACCCTGGCGAGACATGCCAGCAGGCATCGGCAGCCCTGTACTTTGTGGATCGCAGTTTCTGCAGGTACCAGGTGAGAGGTGGAAGGTTGGTTTCCACATCTCTTGAAGCCCTCTGCGGTTGTGGGGCGTAGGAAAACCTAGTAGTCCTTTCGCACAAGTGTGCGGTTCTGGGAGAGGTTTGTGGCTTAGGGAGTGTTTACGAGTGTTAGGGCGACTTTGAAGTATCTTCTGCAGGTCTCTTTGGAGATTCTTCCCAAGCAGCTCAGCGAAGCATCCGACCAGCACAGGGCCAAGTATGTTGTCACCTCTTCAACTAACCTAGGACTTTGAGGAAGCCCTTATGGCTCTCTTGTTCGTGTATAGGTTCCCTTATCGGTCAAAAAAGGGCACCCCTTTATTGCTGGGTTGCTCTTGGGTCTAGTAACTGACCGAGAATTTAGACTCAAGGCATCATGAACCGGTGTGGCAAAGAGCTTTGGGAACCCGATCGCCATGCTCGGCTGAGCAGCTTCAAACATGTCCAACCCACTGAACACCATGGATACAGGAAAAACAAAGACATGTTGCTACAAACAGTCTCTGTTGTTGCCGTGTCCTTTTCCTTTTGGATGTGTGTTCACTGCCTCTGCTTGCTACAAACAGTCTCTGTTGTTGCCGTGTCCTTTTCCTTTTGGATGTGTGTTCACTGCCTCTGCTTGTCCCCAAACCCTAAACCCCATACCCTAAACCCCAAACCCTAAACCCTAAACCATCTTTTACGGTTAAGTCTCAGGTTCCAGCTGATCCTAGACGAGCCGGAGGGTGGCGTCATCTTCAACCCCAACCAGGATGGAACCAGCGATCGGCTGCATGCTCAGCGTGGGTTTAGGGGGTTGGGGCATTAGGGTTTAGGGTTTAGGGGTTTAGGATGAGGGTTTAGGGTTTAGGGTTTAGGGTTTAGGGTTTAGGGTTTAGGGCTTAGGGTTTAGGGTTTAGGGTTTAGGGTTTAGGGTTTAGGGTTCCTGCTGGAGCCTAGCGTCCTAGAGCTTGCTGTTGGTTAGGGAATGAAGGCGGGCCATCCAAAGAAGCCAGAAGTGAGCTACGAATTGCTTATTAAGGTTAATATAGGGATTTTAAATTAGAATATTTTTCCTTATTAAGGGTAATATAGGGATTTTAAATTAGAATATTTTTCCTTATTAAGGGTAATATAGGGATTTTAAATTAGAATATTTTTCCTTATTAAGGGTTGTAATGTAGATAATGTAGGGAGTATTATGTTTTAAATTCTCCTGGGGTTCTTAAGCAAATAGAAGAGAGGTGCGTCCTGACGATCACCATCTTCAATGAGAACGACGAGCTGACCAGGACCGGGCGCTCGGCATGGCAAGCACCCTCAACCCTAAACCCTAAACCCCAAACCCCAAACCCTAAACCCTAAACCCTAATTAAACCCCAAACCCTAAACCCTAAACCCTAAACCCTAAGCCCTAAACCCTAAACCCTAAACCCTCAGCCCGAAGCCCTGATGAGCGGAGATTCGCTCAGGAAGGCATGGCCCGCTCCTTCGATTATCTCCCCCGCTCCCTCCAGCTGCTTACTCCTAGGGGGGGGGGGGGCTTAGCGGTTTCGGGTTTAGGGTTTAGGGTGTAGGGTTTAGGGTTTAGGGTGTAGGGTGTAGGGTTTAGGGTTGAGTGTGCAGAGGCTCATAGGGTTATAGAATCATAGGTAGGGCCTTGGGGGATGTTTTGTATTGTCTCTTATTGGGTTAAGACGACAAGAGGATTCTATTCAGGAAGGTTTTTTGGGAGGTTGCTAAGTCGCCATCCTAGAATCGCAGAAGGGACGCGCTTAAAGAGCCAAGGGGCTGAGCGCAGGAACATTGCTTCCATTCAGATGAGCCAGTTTGTGGACAAGGTCATCAACATCGACAAGCTGCGCTTGGGGACGCAGTCTTGGTACGAGGACGGCTGGGGACAAGAGGTCTGCGTCACGTTCAGAAGTACGTCATTAGAGAGCCACGCCCCCCCCTCTTCCCCATTCCCCCACTCCCCTCAGCAGACCTGCTGGGACAGACGTTCACGACGTATGCTCAGAGCCATGAAGGAAGTGATTGACTCCTTCTGCAGTGTGGCAGAGGAGGGCGAAAGGCTGGGAGCTGTGGATTTTCGGGTAGACCCTAGCCCTACACCCTAAACCCTCAACCCTCAACCCTCAACCCTCAACCCTCAACCCTCAACCCTCAACCCTAAAGCAGTGTGGTTGGATCCCAACCCCTCTTCCCTGCGCGTTGACTGCTTTGGTAGTTGGGGGTCCCGTCCCGTTTTGAGTAACTTGCTTTACGAGGGATTCTCTTTTTTGCCAAGGGTAGCTTCTATACATGGAACAAGGCCCCACTTCGTCGCAACCAGTTTCACTGCCTCTTTTGCCAGAGCAGACAGGTGAAGATAAAGCGGTGCTTTCCCTCTTCATGGTGGCATCTGGATTGTTGACTTTAGGTAAAAAGCCCTAAAGGCCCAAGACCTTAAACCGAAGAATCCTGAAGCCTTTTTGCCCAAAGGGTTTAGGGTTTAAGACACAAGAACCCTAAACCCTAAACCCTAAACCCTAAACCCTAAACCCTAAACCCTAAACCCTAAACCCTAAACCCTAAACCCTAAACCCTAAACCCTAAACCCTAAACCCTAAAGCAGGGCTTCCTGTATGGACTGGATTCTGCACATCATCTCGCTGCCTTGGAAGCTCTGCTTGGCTCTGCCGCGAGCTTGGGCCAAAGGGTTTGGGGTTTCGGGTTCCGGGTTTAGGGTTAGGGTTTAGGGTTTAGGGTTTAGGGTTTCGGGTTTAGGGTTTAGGGTTTAGGGTTCAGGATTTGAGGCATCTCGAAGTCATGAATTTTGCCCGAAGTCCTACTCCCGTTAACCCTAAACCCATCAAGTTGGAGAAGACGCAATCTCTCGCAGGAGTCGGATGCCATGACTCATGAACTCACGAACAGACTCCATTTATTGGGCGTTGGGCTCCTGAGCTTTTCTGCGCTCTGCGCACTTTCATGCTGACACAACCGCAGGACCATAGTACATAAAGCATCATTCTCACGCTTTGTCAAAAGCGTCAAAGCAGGAGGGTTGATGCTGGTATCTCATCAATGTCTTGTCGATCGCGCGCAAGACAAGTAAGGCAGAATGCAACTTGCGGAAGGTGTGGCCCTAAACCCTAAACCCTAACCCTAAACCCTAAACCCTAGACCCTAGACCCTAAACCCTAAACTCAGCATGCGCACAAATTGGGGAAGTCAACTGAGGGTTTTGAGGGCTGAGGGGAGAGGCGTTGTAGCCTCCAGACGATGCCGCTGGATTCTCCTTGCAGATGCAGGACGCATGTGAAGCAGTTTATATTTCTTTTATTGGTGAGTGTATATAAGGTTCCTTTTTAACTAATATTGGTGAGTGTATATACCTGGTGTCCTTTTGGGGGTACAAGAAATGTATACCCTACGTCATGTTGATTTTTGTGCTTGCCCATCACTATTACCACTATTATTATTGTTCTTGTTCTTATTATCATCATTGTTGTTACTGTGATTATTATGATTATGATGATGATCATTATCATGATAGTTATGGCTAAGACTATGATTACCATTATTATTTTAGTAGTAGTAGTATGTATATTAGTATTAGGATTTTGTTGTGATCAACATAAGTATTAGCACGACTCTTATATCATATTCATACTGTATATCGTCGTCCACAGTGCATGTTGTGCAGCCGAAGGGCAGTGCGCGGGTGCCAGGATGCAGAGTCAGCAAGGTGGTCGGTTACCGGCACGGATGCCGACGTCGAAAGCTCAGCCGAGGGGGCATGCGTTCCGAAAGACGTGAGTATAGGGGCCTTCATGGAACAGGGGTATAGCGGCCTTCATGGAACAGGGGTTTGGGGGTGTTTATAGTAAAAAAATATCTAGGGACCGTAAGAAAATACTCTTAGTAGTTAATCCCGACCCCTACAGTACGTCCGAGTCTGCAGCATTGCCCTAGTAGTAGAGTGGGTAGCCTTTAACCTTTTTGGGGTAGATTCCCCTTAGAATCCCTGGATCCCTAAACCCTAAACCCTAAGCCCTCAACCCTAAACCCTAAACTAAGTCGCAGTCCGCAAGGTTTGGGAGAGCTACACCCGCAAGGGCCATAAGATCGGTGCCGGTGGCTTCGGCTTTGTCTTCGGAGCGACCCACAAGGGCACGGGCGAGATGGTGGCGATCAAGGCGCTGAACCAAGTAATCACAGGGGCCTCTTAATAAATAGAATAGTTTTATTTATGATTATTATTAGCACCATTATTATGATGATGATGATGAATTATTATTATTATTATTATTATATATATATATATATATATATATTATTTTTTTTTTTGGGGGGGGGGGGGTGGTGGTAGTTGTAGTGTATTTCTATAAGAATATGATTGGTAAACAAATTCCGACCCCTGTGGTCGGGGTTGAGGTTCTGGGCGTCGACGCCCACCTTCTAGCCTGCGTTTGTAAGCGATGTGTATGGGGCGTACACTGGAACCCGGAACCCTCTGAACCTTCCCCAAAGCCTAGACCCTGAACCCTGAACCCTAAACCCTAGCCCTAAACCCTAAACCCTGAACCCTAAAACCCTGAACCCTGAACCCTAAACCCTAGCCCTAAACCCTAAACCCTGAACCCTAAAACCCTGAACCCTGAACCCTAAACCCTAGCCCTAAACCCTGAACCCTGAACCCTGAACCCTAAACCCTGAACTCTGCAGTGAGAGGCCGTGCCGAAGTTGGATCTGAAGCGAGCTCCGCAGACTGCCCCAGAACAGCTGGGGCAGATGCGCAGGTCGCCGGGAAGAACCCCCCAAAGCCCCGAACCCTATTGAGTTTAGGGTTTTGGGTTTTAGGGTTTAGGGTTTAAGTTTAGGGTTTAGGGTTTAGGGTTTAGGGTTGAGGGCCCGATGCTAAAGCTGAGCTCGAGAGCACCTCGCACCTGTGAGGAGGGATGCTCAGAGGCTCAGGGAGGAGATCTTGATCATGAGGCTCGGGGTGGCACGGTCATTGCTGAACAGGGGTTCGGTTCAGGGCTTAGGGTTTAGGGCAGTTTAGGGTTTAGGGTTTAGGGTTCAGGATTTAGGGTTCAGGGTTCAGGGTTTAGAGTTTAGGGGTCAGGGTTGACGGACAGGAACTTGAGACAAGTGGCTTGCTTTTGACTTAGGGGGGGGGTTTCGGGGCTCAAGCAGGTCTAGATCGGGCAGCAGTTGCTGGGATGTCTAGAACAGAACTTCCGCCAGGAAGCTGGACCATCCGAACACCGTACTTTTGTACGAGACTTTCGAGGACACGGGCCTTTGGTTCTAGGCTATCCCCACCCCGGCCTTAAACGCGACCCGTTTGTCCCGAAGTTTACGACATTCCCCCCTCCCCCCCCACATCACACACCTAAAGGTTTCGGACTAAGGGTGCAGGGTTTAGGGTTCTAAATCCCCATGAAGGCCAGCGCCCGCATTTCGAGAAGGCGAGCAGCGACGCAGGGTGTAGGGCTCAAGGTTTTGCCTCAATCCCTACATCCCCTAAAAACCCCTCGAACCCGCAGAGCTCCCAGAGCCTTTTCTTTTTGCCGCTACAGTAGAACCCTAAACCCTAAACCCTAAACCCTAAACCCTAAACCCTAAACCCTAAACCCTAAACCCTAAACCCTAAACCCTAAACCCTAAACCCTAAACCCTAAACCCTAAACCCTAAACCCTAAACCCTAAACCCTTAACCCTTAACCCTAAACCCTGAACCCTGAACCCTGAACCCTCAGAAACCCGTGATGACTTCTAAAGCCGGAATTCAGGATGACAAAAACGTGTTCCTGGTGATGGAGCTGTGCTCTGGTGGTGAGCTGCTGGGTCGGGGCTCTCAGCCCTTGTTAACTCCTTAGTTCATTATATGGGTGGTTGTCAATATTATGATCCCTTTTGGGGCACCCTAAATAATAGGTGCCATAGAATCATAGGGATCCAAAAAGGGACCATAAGTTTTGACCACCACCCATATGCTGGTTTACGAACATAGGGGGTGCCTTGTTGGGGTTCCTGTTATAAGGGGATCCTCCCATTTGGGGGTCTGTATTGGGGGTTCCTTATTATCGTAAACCCCCATACACCTTATGACAAATTTAGGTCCTTTAGGGGGACGTTTGTTGGGGACCTGGCGTGCTCTTTGGGCGCCAAGGGAGGGTTGTAGCATTTCTGGTTCAGCAGGTTAAGATCTCTAAAGGCTCTACGGGGTTTAAGAGCCTCTCAGGGCTTCAAGGAACTCTCAAGGCTTAAAAGGGTATTTATAGGTGTTGCAAGTGCTATTGAGGGTGGGAAGGTTTTTCAGCAGCTCTAACGGCTTTAAGGGCTCCTCTAGGGGTTCTAGGGGGTTCTAGAGGTTCTACAGGTTCTAGAGGGGCTCTGGAGGCTCTAAGGGTTCTAGGGCCCCTTTTGGGGTTCTAGAAGTTCGAGGGTGGCTGCAGCTGTAGGTTTCATCCTAGAGAGCGGCCGCCACACGGAGACCCAGTCCGTGATCGTGATGAAGCAGGCGGGCCGATCTCTACATGAGTGTTCCCTTTTGCGTACCGTAAAGGTTGTTGCATGTGGGGGTTTACGAAAGTAGGGGTACCTTACTGGGGTCCTAATTATCCTGCTTATCAGGGGATCCTACTATTTGGGAGTCTATATTCGGGGTCCCTTATCTTCGTAAAACCCCATATAAGGGTCCCTAAAACGATTGTTATCCCATGTGGGGTACTTGAACAGAAGTGTCCTTCTTGTATCAGTGGCGAGATGTGGCGCAGCATCTCTCACGGCCTGGGCCTACGGAACTCTTTCAAGGGGCTTGGGGTTTAGGGGAGCTTATGCCTCTTCTGTATCCAGCCATAGTCGATCGCTGAATAGGAACATCTAATTTGAGCAGTTCTCTCCATGATGGGGTTCCTCTTCGGGCATCGGAATATGAAGACCCGCATAATTGTGCTAGGCATCCCAAAAAGGGGCCCTAACATTGACAGCCCTCTCGTTTGGGTCATTCGCATGTCAGGTGTTTCAGGCTGTCGCGTACCTGCACTCTGCTGGAATCTGCCATCGGGACATCAAGCACAGCAACACCCTCATGCTGACCCAAGCCCAGCTCGAGGACAACGTGGTGACACGTGGCTGCGAGGGTGCAGTTTTTGTTTGTTGGAGGTCTCAAATTTGATGCAACCCCAAAACTAACCTGAACCCCCTCGACACCCTAAGGCCTAAGCCCTCAACCCTAAACCATCAACCCTCAACTCTAAGCCCCAAACCCCAAACCCTAAACCCTAAACCCTAAACCCTAAACCCTAAACCCTAAACCGAGGAAGCTGGTCGACTTCGGCTTGGCGTGCTGCTTCACGCGCGGAGAACCCATGCGACAGTGCGCTGGCACGGCGATCTATGTTGCTCCGCAGGTGGAAGGGAAATTGGGAGTTGAGGGTTTAGGGTTTACGGCTTAGGTACGGCCATGTGCTGCCGCTATTTTGCTTTCTCATGATGCGAACTTTGGGTGAGGTTCTTCTGCCGAGGGCAAAAGTTTGTTTAGGGTATAGCAGGGAAGTATGGAATGGGGTACCCACTGCCCTACATGACCCTTCAAGGGATTGGAGGCATAGTCGCTGCAGCAGTCGTTGGTCGTGTTTTCAGTGCTTGGAGTCTTCACAACCCCAAACCCTAAACCCTAAACCC